GCCTATGGAGACCATTATAGTCAATGAGTGCATTAGAGAATCGATCTGGGGGTATCTGGGGTGCTGTGCTGTTTTTGAGGTAGATGCACCAAATTTGCAGCATAGCCGCTGGAGCCTCTCCTCAAAAACCTCCCCAAGTTTCAAAAATATTGGACCATGGGGTCCAATTCTTTGGGCCACCGAAGGAGGTTACTCCATCCTCCATTGTTTTGAATGGAGGGAGAAATGCCTTAGTCTGATCAGAAGCTAAATTCCCTGAGCTGGCCTCTGAAATGTTGTGTGACAACACCCCCTAGCACAGCTTTCTGAGAACTCTGGAGACCACCAAAGAAATCTAGAGTTGTTCTGCCCAGGCAGGCAATGGCTAAACTAACCTGTTTGTTTCTTGCCTTGAAAACCCTACAGACTCAACATACATTTGCTGTGACTTGATGAAACTTTCCACCATGCAAGGTAGGAATCACAAAGGAATGAATACTTTACAACCAGCCAGCCAATACAAGCATTCCTTTCAAAATATTATAGTTCATTTCTGAGTGGCACTATTTCCCAGATGGTTTTGAAGTCAAGGTCTGCCTGGAGTTTAAAAAGGAAAGCAATGTCCTGAAGCAGTCACATTTTAGAGGAAATAACAGAAACATTCTTGATTTCTTTATGATTTTCATAGTTAAGCTGCACAGAAGGATATCAAAACTGATGTGCTATTTTTAGCATGCATTTAGAGAAGTACACTAATACTGAAGGAGATAAGATGTGGAAAAAATGCAATACATTTTCTTAGTATTGACTGATCTCTTCCAGAAAGTAACTTTAGTCCTCAATCTGTCTTGTTTAATACAGATTTTACAATAGAAGGAAATTTCTTCGCTGAAATTAATCTCTCCATAAGAATTTTGTGGTTGGATGAAAGATATCTGTGAGGTAAGTGGTTTGGCCACAAATCTTTTGCTTCCTTGCACAAATCATTTGAAGTATTAATCATGCTGAGTGTTCAGTAGGGGCAAGCTGAGTTTAGGGGGGGGAGAGATGAAAAGAACAAATGGAAATGTCAGCTAGCCACTATGAGCTGCATTTTTCAGAGGAACTTCTGAGCATGGACAGTTTGGTTTATGACACTTTAAATATGTGTATATTGTACTGAAATGCATTTTATAATCTGTACTGTAATATAAATGCTTAATAACAATTATTGAATAGATTGCATTGTAATATCAGGGTTGTTTTTTTCTTTACTTTGTTTACTTAAAACCTGTCCCGTGAACTTACATTTGTATAATCTCCAGGTGGGAGATGGAGTTTCCATGGAATTAAAACTCATCTCCATATGACTGAAATCAGTTACTAGGGTTGCCAGCTCTGACTTGGGAAATTCCTGAAGATCTGAGGGTGATGCCTGCCTGGAGAGGGCTGGTTTGGCAAAGGACTTAAGTAAGGTATAATGTCATAGCGTCCACCCTCCAAACATTTTTTTTTCCTCCAGGGGAACTGTTCTCTACTATTTTGCAATACAGAGTTGGCAGCCCTAGTAAAGACCCATATTCAAATACTGACACTGCCATAAAACTCACTAATGTCCTTGAAGCAGCCAATTCAAATTCTGTTAGCTTAACCTCCTGGCATGACCACAGTGAGACCAAGAGATGAATGTGCATTGCCCAGAATTCTTCAGAAATGTCATAAATAGATCATATCCTGTGTCAATCTCTCTCCTAGGAAACATCGTGTGACCTGAAGATTAAACTATGCAAAAATCATTGCATTATGCCTGACTCGAAAATCAAGTGGACTTCTGGCTTCCTCTACTGTCTTCCATGCCAGCACAGTAGATGTTCTGGGTCTAGAAGCACAAGAGTTGGAGAAGGTGGTTGGGAAGATAAATCACAAAAGATGTGTCTAACTAATGCCTATGTCTGCCAAATTCAGTTTATCATCAACTTCTCACGTTGACCAGGCCACTACAAGAAAGCAGATATCTCTCTTGCAATAATTTTAGTTATTATATTTATCTTTTCAATCAGACCTGATTTTGTTCCATTTATATAATGATTGAAAACCAGACTACGATTACCGAAGTCATCCTCCTGGGATTTGGGGACATTTATAAGTTCCAAATTCTTCTCTTCCTAGCATTTCTCGTCATTTATATTGTGACTGTAACGGGAAATACTCTCATCTTTTGGCTTGTGGTCTTTGATAGACACCTGTATACTCCCATGTACTTCTTCCTGGGGAACCTCTCCTTCTTAGAGGCTTGCTACTCCTCCAATCTATTTCCAAGGATGCTTTTGGCTCTCTTGACTGGGAACAGAATGATTTCCTTCAGTGGCTGCCTCACCCAGTGGTATATCTTTGGATCCTTGGAAGCTACAGAATGTTGTTTGCTGTGTGTGATGTCTTATGACCGGTATCTCGCAATCTGTAAACCACTCCATTATGCAACAACCATGACAACCCAGACTTGTATCCAGTTAGCGGCTGCATCTTGGATTAATGGCTTTTTCATTTCTTTTGTATTACTCATTCTGATGTTGCAGTTAACGTTTTGTGGCCCCAATACAATGGATCATTATTTTTGTGACTATTTCCCACTCCTAAAAGTCTCCTGCAGTGATACTAGTTTGATGAAAATGGTAAGCATTGTTGTGTCGGCCATTTTTACACTCCCTCCTTTTCTTTTAACCTTGGCATCCTATGTATATATCATAGCAGCCATCTTGAAAATCCCCTCCTCCACAGGGAGGAAAAAGGCCTTTTCCACTTGCTCTTCTCACTTGGTTGTGGTTTCTATTTTCTATGGGTCTCTAATGACTGTATATATGGTACCAGAGCAAGAAATGAAGGGGAACATGGGAAAATTTTCATCTCTCCTGTACACAGTGTTGCCCCCTTTGCTTAACCCTTTCATATACAGCCTGAGAAACAAAGAGGTCAATGATGCACTGAGAAATATAGTTGGTAGGTTATGCCCTATGAAGAGGTTAGATGAAACTAATTACCACAAGCCCCTTTCAGATGTTACAGTGAATACATCTACATTTTGACTGTGCATGCATACCTCTGTTTGTGAGAAAACACCAATGAGTGTTTACTGGACAAATGAAACAAAAGACAAGTCGCTGGATAAATGCAGGGCTTCGATCATATGTTCAGCTATACCTTCATTCACTGTAACAAGAGAATTTCTCAACACACATAGAACTATCAAGAGTACATTGTACACAGATCGTATGAACATTCCTTGTAACTTGTGAAGAAGGCTAAAAGTAATGTGTAACAAAACTGAGTGATCACTTTCCTCTGATGTTTTTTCTTTGTGGAAAGATCTTTTTAATGAATACATTTTGTATACTGATTGATGCATTAAGCAGTGATTTTGTTCGAAAATATATTTTTGCTACTAGGTTGATTTCAGAATAAACTTGATTCCCTTATGAAACACACACGCACTCTCAAAAACTTTGGAATATTGTCTTTTCAGAATGATAATAATACAAACATTATCACACCCATATATGTTATTATGTTGATATATGTATTGTAATTAATGTAGATATGGGGGGGGAACTGAGCAAACTGAATGGAATCATATTTAATGGGTGTGATAATAGGATTCAGAATACTAAGTAACTCTTTGTTAGAAATAAGGGATAACAGAAGTTAGTGGATTAGTTTGAGAGCACTTTCTATTATTAAGAATCTGGGGGGTGAGTAATATAATAGACTGATGGAAAATAAGGCCTAATATTTCTATCAGTCACTGGAAAGGCAATTAAACATGCTCCCCCCAGCATTTCTCAGACGTTTTGCTAGTAGAAAGACTCCCTAATTTGGGTTGAATTTGCTTTCAGTTAGCATTCTGATGTCCAGGAGCAATAGCTGACAGACACTAGTCCCTTCAGTCCATTTGGGTTGGATCCAGCCAGCTTTGCTGCTGGTGAAAAGGGAAGGAGGGGTCAAGTTTGGCCACCAGAGAAATCAATGGTCAAAAGATGTATAAAAGCCATGAGGGACATGGAATGTTGTGTGGAGGGGAATTGAAGCTAATGAAATTAAAAAGGTGGGTAGATTCATCTCAGGTGTTTGTTTGTTTTTTTAAAGACATTCTTTCCCAGATGGCTGCTCAAGTTGTGTATTAAACTTAAAAAAAAATAAACTCTTCCCAATGACTCATATGTCAACACAGTTTATTGTCCCTCAAGGGGTAGGTGTTCTGTTAATGTTGCAGGATTTATCTATTTATTTACATCAATTCATTTGGGGGAAGATAGAAACATTATTGGCTTCTTTAGCTTAAATACACAGCTGGCCATGGTTATCTTAATGAAATATAACCTATAAAATCTGCTACAGAGGATATCAAAACTCATACACTAAGTATGATGTTGTGTTAATTAGGAGGAAAATAAAAGTGTTGTTGATTGCTGAGCTAAAATACGGTGCTAGAAAGCCACTGCTTTCGTAGTGAAACATACTCAAAACTGGTACACTGTTTGAAGCATTCGTCTGAGTCATTATCTTGGAACAAGCATTAATACTCGAGATAAGGTAAGAAGAGTTGGGTCCTAAGATGTACACCAATGATTGGTTGTAGCTCTAAAATCCTAAACCAACAGGTATCTCAATGAAGGGGGACATGATTGCTCTCGTTTGAGGGCTGTCACTTAGAGGAGGGCAGGGAGCGTTTCCTGTTGGCAGCAGAGGATAGGACTCACAATAATGGCTTTAAATTAAGGGTGGGAAGGTTCCAGCTGCATATTAGGGAAAACGTTTTGACAGGAACAGTTGTGCAACAGTGGAATCAGCTGTGAGCTCCCCCTCACTAGGAGTCTTTAAGCAGCATCTGGACAAACACTCGTCAGGGATACTGTATGCTGAGCCTGCATTGAACAGGGGGGTGGACTAGAGGGCCTGCATGGCCCCTTCCAACTCTGTGAGTATATGATTAAAAACGTGTGTTTTTGGGAGGAGCAGGGTTGTTGTCAAGACAGAAAACCAAAGATGGATCATTCAATGCATGGAACTCTGTAGTCAGTTATGCCCAGGCAGGCAATGGCAAAACTAACCTGTTCATCTCTTGCCTTGAAAACCCTACAGACCCACCATACGTTTGCTGTGACTTAATGGCACTTTCCTTCATGCATAGTAAGAATCACAAAGGAATGAATACTTCACAACCAGCCAGTCAATACAAGTATTCCTTTCAAAATATTAAAGTTCATTTTTCAGGGGCACTATTTCCCAGATGGTTTTGAAGTCAAGGTCTGCCTGGAGTTTAAAAAGGAAACCAATGTCCTGAAGCAGTAACATTTTAGAGGAAATAACAGAAACATTCTTGATTTTTTTTTATGATTTCTGCCAGAACAGACGTTTACATCTTAATGTGATGTGTTTTTCATAATTAAGCTGCACAGAAGGATATAAAAACTGATGTGCTATTTTAGCATGCTTTTAGAGAAGTACACTAATAATGAAGGGAAATGCAATACATTTTCTTAGCACTGAGTGATCTCTTCTAAAAAGTAACATTAGTCCACATTCTGTCTTGTTTAATACAGCTCTTACAATAGGAGGAAATTTCTTCACTGAAATTAATTTCTCCATAAGGATTTTGTGGTTGGATGAAAGATATTAGAACATAAGAGAAGCCAATGTTGGATCAGGCCAATAGCCCATCTAGTCCAACACTCTGTCACACAGTGGCCAAAAATACCAGTTGCCATCAGAAGGTCCAGAAGTGGGGCCAGGACACTAGAAGCCCTCCCACTGTTGCCCCCCTCCCAAATACCAAGAATACAGTGCATCACTTGCCCCAGACTAAGAGTTCCTATCTATACCTTGTAGCTAATAGCCACTGATGGATTTCTGCTCCATATGCTTATCTAATTCCCTCTTGAAGCTGTCCATGCTTATAGCTGCCACCCCCTCCTCTGGCAGTGAATTCCATGTGTTAATCACTCTTTGGGTGAAGAAGTACTTCCTTTTATCTGTTCTAACCCAACTGCTCATCAATTTTATTGAGTTCCCTAGACTTATTGTATTGTGAGAAAGGGAGAAAAGTACTTCTTTCTCAACCTGCTCTATCCCATGCATAATCTTATGAACCATGTCACTCCTCAGCCGTCACTTCTCCAAGTTAAAGAGTCCCAAGTGTTTTAACCTTTCTTCATAGGGAAAGTGTTCCAACACTTATGTCATTCTAGTTGCTCTTTTCTGCACTTTTTCCAATGCTATAATATCGTTTTTCAGGTGTAGTGACCAGAACTGTACACAGTACTCAAAATGAGGTCGCACCATTGATTTATACAAGGGTATTATGATTGTCACTGATTTGTTTTCAATTCCCTTCCTAATAATCCCCAGCATAGTGTTGGGCTTTTTTTCTTTTTTTGCTGTTGCACACTGTCCAGACATTTTCAATGAGTTATCTACTACAACTCCAAGATCTCTCTTTTGGTCAGTCTCTGCCAGTTCGGACCCCATCATTATGTATTTATAGTTAGGATTTTTGTCTCCACTGTGCATTACTTTGCACTTGGCCACATTGAACCCCATTTGCCATGTTCATGCCCACTCGCCCATCCTCAACAGATCCCTTTGGAGTGCCTCACAATCCTCCCTGGTTCTCACCAGCCTGAACAGCGTCATGTCATCTGCAAATTTAGCCACTTCACTGCTTACTTCCAATTCCATATAATTAATAAGCAAGTTAAAAAGCATCAGCCCAAGTACTGACCGCAGTACTCTGATACCTGTAAGGTAATGTTTTC